CCGAACCGACCAGTCTTCGCTTTTACTACCAAATTTCGAGTGTTTTGTTTAGAAACAGCAAATATAAATTTGTATTTAATGCGGCCGAGTCGGGAAGTGAACCTAAAACCTCTCGGAATGAAAACAAAAACGACAGAGCGGGACCACAGAGCATGAGAGGCGGTTCCTTCAAAGAAGTTAAACATATGAATAAAAGTGATGTAGGGTATGCGTCAAAGACATCTATAATAAATGTCAATTTGTTCAATTTCATGAAAAGCAACAAGTGGAAGTTAATCATTAGTTTCTAACTACGTGTTTTGTTTCAGTGGTTGTTCTTCTACTTTTTGCGTTTTCATTTTTGTATAAACCTGCAGGATTGCCGAATATTTAAAAAAAAAAATCTGTTACTATCGAATCCATGCAAAACATCAAACTATTCTTCCGTCGTCCATTAAATAATTTGTTTAAAATGTCCCTTTGGTTCTAAGGATAATTTGACCGGTGCCTATGTATTTTCATGTCAAAATTTTTGATTTTATGTCAATCTTGCTTTCTAAAGTAAATTCGTTAACTTCAGTAAAGCGATACAATGAAGCTGTGGAAGGATTGTATCATCTGTTCCAATTTTTATACAAAAGAGGGACGAAAGATACCAGAGGGACAGTCAAACTCATAGATCGAAAACAAACTGACAACGCCTTGGCCAAAAATAAAAAGACAAATAGACAAATAATAGTACAGATGACACAACATAGAAAACTAAAGACTAAGCAACACGAACCTCACCAAAAACTGGGGGTGATCTCAGGTGCTCCGGAAGGGTAAGCAGATTCTATACAAAGTTTTACTAGTTACAACAGAATTTACCCCGGTTAAGTAACCAAAACTTATATCAAATATACAACTTCTAAACCAATTAACACACTGATACATACTCCAGTGTTAGGGTACATAACTATACGTAAAGGCGACATGTACTGTCAATATTTGAAATAACATTTCCTTCTAACCGTTAGTAAGACTACTCCACGCGCTTGACATATCAATTAATCACTCGGTTAATTGATCGTAAACAACTTAACTTCCTAATTACGTTGATTGATCATCACAAAACGGCACGAAAAGTTCTAGGAGCGAATAAAGCACAAAATGTCCTCGAAGAAATTTGTAAGCATATTTCGTTAATCCTTCAAAATGTAACACTCGGAGCATCGTACGATCAGATGTTGTTTCTAAAAATATAGGAAAAACCAAGGTCACACTCACTGAAATTGTAGCGAATTTGAATCTTATAGTAAACTAAACGCCCTTATAGACAGTATCAACCTTTTTAAAGTCACACTGAAACGGCCGGGTTGACTTATCTAATTTTTTTAGATATCTGTTTTTAAATTAAATGTCACATTTTTAGAATGATTTAACATCTTTCATTTGCAGAGGTTATATTAAAAACTATAACATTATTTATAAAGTTTTGTATCTTGTAATTTTTAGGATTAATCTCAATTGGTTTCTTCTTACCTCTTTAGATCCAGTAAGTAAATGTATTGTTTATTTGTTAACTTTCAAGACTATGCGTTAACTATTTTTCTTTGACAGTTAAGTAAACAACGATAAATTAAAAATATGAGACTCGCAGAAAAGACGGCACGAACATATAATGAAAACTTGACCATAACTTTCACTAATGTTTGCGCTCGTATATTTTGCTTTGTACATGTTATTTTTCTCTCTTTCTTCGAGTGTTTCCAATTCAAAAATGCTCGCAAATAATTTCTTATACGATTGCAACCTACTGACCTTGAGCATATCTGCTGACTTTTCAAGTCGCACTTTTTTTAGCATAGGCATCAGTATTCTACGTTTATCTACTCTTTTTGTACCCTTTACCATGATAAGTAAATGTCGATGTCTTTTTAAAGTATACACGTAAAGTGAGTAATTGTTGTTGAATCGTTCCCTTCCCAATCGTTTAACATGTCTTTTCGTTGCTTTTCTTTGTCCACTAATCGAAATTAAAAAGGGGGATGGTTGAGATCTCCTTGACGCTGTTTTGAGTTCAAACCCCGCACGTTGCAGGTGCTTTTGACTTCGATCTTAATTGACTAGGATTGCCAGTTTTCCAATCAAAGATCGGTGGTTCTCTCCGGACACTCTGGCTTCTTATAGCCAAGAGTGCTGAAAGTGGCGTTAAACACAAACAACCAACCAATCAATCAATCAATCTGAGAATCCAGTCGGCAAATCACAAAATAAATATAGGTTGTATATATAATTATCATTTCTTTACACGTCAAAATATGGTTTCCTTAAAAATAGTTCTGTTTCTTAGAAACGAATTTAATTGACTTCAAAAGATAGATAGATAAATCCGAATTAACGAAAAATGGCTATCTTATAACATGTAAAATGAAATATTATATTTGATTATTATACATAGAAGTGTTGTTTGAAGAATAGACAAATCATACCTTTATAAGGAGTTGACCTCAAAAGATGTGTATGATATATTTATCAGTAAAATATGTACTTGTAGGAATGCACGTCCTTGAATTTCTAATCTCATTTTTATATGTCTCGATATTGTTCCATGGTGTCAATTGATTTGTTTGAAATCCAAATACGATTGAATTTTTGGTTTTGTTATACTTAATTTACAGTGGCAAATATTTCAGCAATTACATAGTAAGGATGAGAACAAATTCACAATTAATCCAATAGGTATGTTCTGAATAAGGTGGACCAATCGGAATGAATTTTAGACTGCCACCCGGAAAAGAGGGTCTGTGGTATATGGACAGTATTTTTTTTTCTTGCAACAGACCACCTACGGAACCCTCTTCAACAATGGAGCTCCTTTTCGAGATATTTAATTTTGAACAAATTGCAGGAAAAGGATGACTCGGACTTTTACCTTATATTTACATTGGTATCGTTCCAAAAGGTGTAGCATACAAAAGGTATGGAATTACCTTGACACGAGGCAACGATTGTACGTCCCAATTCCGACCGTCCGTGACTGCGTATTAGTATTTATACATCCCACACAGCCAAACACACGGCACTCCTTAGCATGTATTTTGCTTCTGAATGATAGAAGACCAGGCCACCATATTTCTTTAAAATAATTAACGATTTACATCTCAACTCCAAGTATAAATCGAACTCAATAATATTTATCCAGTGCATTTCTGTCGAACCAGGTCAATTATGAATAAATAAATTATGAATAATGTCAGTCTTAAGGATGTATTTAGGTGAAATTACAAAAAAAAATAGAGTTTAAAATTGATACTATAAGTCAGATGAGCATTAATTAAGGAACAAAATAAGCTAAAAATATAGATAGGTTATGGAGCTCCTTTTCGAGATATTTAATTTTTAAAAAATTGCGGGAAAAGGCTGACTCGGACCTTGACCTTATATTTGGATTGGTATTATTTGAGTCTCAAATCGAAAGAAAAGAAATCTAGAATCTGCTTAAATTTTGGTAAATGACCTTTTATGAGCTATTAAAGTCTTATATGAATAGAAAAATGGGTGTTATGGGGCAACATATTTTACCCTGTATCGTAGGAAAAAACCAAGACTCCTAACATCTGACACAAATTCCTAAACCTGACATAAGAACATCCTTAACCGTAATATAGACATTTATTTCTACAGGCATTATATTTATCAATATAAACCAATATGCCCGAAAAGAATTAAATGGTATATAACATATATAAGCAATACAATTTGTGTGATTAATTTCACCTAAGAGAAACATTTGTCAAATTAAGCTTGAACCGTGTGTCCTATCTCTATCTTATATCAAAATCGTTCATATAAGCAAAATCATAAATATGACAATTTAGTATTTATACTTACATTTTGCATAGATTAAAGCAAGTTCTGTGATTTTAAAAGTTTACCACATTGCTTTAAGAAATAAACAAGTTTACAACAAAATTTTCCCACGATCATTGAAATTTCAAGCATCTAATTTGACTATAAAATATTCCTTGGTAGTTGAATCTGATTTTATGCGTGTTAATTTTAAGCAAGAATTTATATTAAACGTTGTAAGTCATGTAATAATCTATCGATTATTTGCATTACAAAGCTTATATAAATACCCACAACTCTGTACCGGCCAATTTTGAATTAAGACTTGGTTCCGTGTGGAGTATGGATACAAGACGTGTTCCTTATCTGTTGATTTGGACTTTATGCAAATTCAAATCAGATGATTTAAAAAGTACCTTATTAATACAAGACAAATGAGAAACAATGAATACAGTTTTCAATTAACTTAATAATAATAACACTTATTATAAGTTTCATAACGAGGGAGAATTTGACATTATAGCTTGATATCAACTTGAGTTATTTAACTTCAATTTAATCATAAACGAGCCTTTGGCGATTTTATTGTTATTATTTATATTACATAACGAGAGTTGTCAGACCACCAATTCACCCACTTCAATTAAGAACATATGTAAAAGTAGCCCTTCCCTGACAAAGAAATGGTGCTTTTTGCAGAAACCAGGGGTTAGTTTTAGTAGCAGTTGCCTTCCGAACGGTCATGCTGCACTACAAGACTTTAAACATTGGTTGAAAATTGGCATATAGAAAGGTGATATATTGTTGGTCTGACACCTAAAGATGTCCACCAGTGGTTGACTCCAATGACAGTAGACGGCCAATAGTGCGAAAATGAAAACTAATTTGATTTTCTAGACTTTGTTTTTTCATAAAAGCCATTGGGTATAAATGAAAATTTAAAAAAAGCAGAACATTGATTTTTTAATCTTTTTACAAAATATTTCTTGCCTTGACACCTTGGAATTAAATTGCTGTCTACGTAAAGTTTATGTCCGTTTATGACGCTTCGATATATATCGATGCTATTCCGAAACAATGTTATTGCATGGTTCAAGTTGAAATTCAATTGAAAATTTTTTATTTTTGACAGCTGTTTTTCATTTTATTATAATTCCACGTTAGTTTCAATTAAAGTCATGGTCAACGGGAGACAACTTCAGCTGAGTCTATTAAGAACAGAAAGTATACGCTTTTCATTGTTTGATGAAGAAAAGCTTTTGGAAGGTAATACTTTTAGATAAATTGTATGAATTGTTGTCATTCACCTCAAAATCATAAACACTAAACTTTATATTTAACATTGATTACTTAATTTTTAAGAAAATTAGGAGAATAATACTTAGTTTTCTTTATTGTTAAAACTTCCTGGTAGACCATAACTATAATCGCCACCGCCAAGAAGTTCAACTGATTCTCGTGTGTGAATGTTCATAACGACAGAGAATGCTATCAACTTGAGTCGTTTGTTTTTTTAAACGAGCATTTGACGAGCATTTGGCGAGTTTATTATTTCTATTTAGATTAAATAACGAGAGTTGATATCAAGCGATATCCAATTCTCACGAGTTGTTTTATTTTTTTTAACCTATCATTTAACTTAATACGGTAAACATTCTCTTTGTGTTAAATAGACGTGTTAGGAAAGGGATTTAAATACTGCGCTGATGTTAAATACCAATACCGATACAAGATTTAAGTGTGGACTTTCTCAAAATACAATTGCATTGATAAGAATCCCGGAGTAGTATAGTTTAGCTTTGTGGTGTGTTTGATATGAAGCGAACGGTTAACGTCGACTCCAATTTTTTAAGACGTGCATTGGCGTTACGTAGATCTTCATACATTCATTTGTATTTGTTTGATTTGGGAGTGCAAAACAAAACATAAAAAAAATATATGTAAGGGTCAAGAATGGGAATGGCGGACTTTACGACCACAAGTCCAAATATATACATTAAACAATATGAGTAGAATATGTAAGGTTGTCTTGCTGCGCATCGTTTTAATGTTCGAGAAAACCACTTTCCACGAGCCGTGTGTGGATTCGTATTGTCTACTACTATCTGGGTATGAATGCAATGCATGGACAGAAGGAAGAAAGAACGGACGGATGCACCCATCCAACCATCACTATATACCGTCCAATTTAGAAAGCGGCGAGTATAGTGAATATAAGGTAGAACAAAATGAAGGAAATCGAAAAAAAAAAAATTGCCCGACATATAATTTAGCAGGCTTTGCAAGAGGTGAAAACGAATATTCCATTTTCAAAATATCCTTCTGACCCAAAGATAATAAAATTAACTTCTCCATATGAAAGTTTAACGCCACTTTCAAAAATATCTCAATTTAATCGTGGTGTTCTGTTTTTTTGGTGGAGGAAGCCGTGATACCAAGAAAAAAAAAACTTCCGACCCTTCACCGAAAGGTAAATTTAACATGCTTGAATAATGCCCAAATGTGGTAATCTTTTAAAACTTTGTTCGATAACCTCTTCTGTCCGAAAAACTAACTGACAAAAGTTGAAAGAAAGAAAATGTCAGTTAAAATGAGAATAAGAATAATTAATTCACACATTTTAACGTTTTTTTTTTTAGGTATTGTCCCTTTTCAACATTACATTAAATTGCCAGAATGAACTTTCTAGATAAAATAAAAAGATAAAGATTATCAAATTGAAATAGCTTTTGTTTCATTCTTTTATTTTCTTTAATTGTCAAGTACACAAATTTCTGTTTTTTTTTATCAGAATTTTAAGCTACACATTTCTCTAATCTAGAAAATTATATAAATTAAGGAGATGTGGTATGATTGCCAAAGTAGACAACTATCTACCAGAGACCAAATGACGCAAATGTTTGCAACTATAGGTCACCGTATGCCCCCCCCCCCAAAAAAAAAGGAGAGCAAAACCCTTCCCGTATAAATGCTATGAAAGGTATATCTTAAATAAATTTCAATAAACGAAAATTTTGAACAAAGATTGACATAGAGTAAAACATCGGTTTCGGATGTGATTTGATTGCAGTGGGTTTTTTTTATTCATTTATTTTGATCGCTTTGCAGATTTTCCTTGTAGTCGTTCAACAACATAGTAAGAAATGCGGGAACAACGATCTTAAATTTATTCGATCACTACTATGAACCAAGGCAATTTTATGATAATATTAATAATGATCGTGTTGTTTTGCTGGATCCTCTTCGGTGTAAATTGTTATTATTTAATTGTATAAAAATCATGTCAGCATTATCAAACAAACCCATACAGGTAACTAACTCCAATGAATGATTATCTCTGGGCTTTTTGAGATGGTCCCCACAATAGCCTGTAGTGGTATTGGTTTTTTTACATCAGCGTCAAAATCGTATTGACTTTCCTAACACGTCTAATATTAAATCCCGTGACTCGTTGGTCTATTCTTTTGCACAGGCCAGTATGACGTCACATGTTCTGTTCCGGGTTTAAACTTTAACAGCTGCTTAAACATGAAATAGTTAAAAAAAATTGACAAATAAAAGAGTTTATCAGCTAATAAAAGAGTAAGTGTGGGTGTTTTGTATATTATTGAAGAAATCACATATTACCGTTCCTATGGAGACCTTTGAAAAACATCAATAACCTGACGAAAAACCAATGGAAATGTCGCATTATAGTTTCATGATCCTGGACAAGCCAATCAAATTAACGCATTTTTCGTATCTAACGTTACATTTTGTCAGTTTTTATAATCTCCTCCCTTTTTGAATTTACCTTTCAGTTCGTTCGGTATTGTCGCTTATACTCATTTTAATAGGATCCCACTCCACGCAGTTTGATACAAGAAATATCTCTTCATCATTGTTCTTGTCAGAAGAAATATAGATACAGTAACAGGCCACGACCATAAGAGAACTTAAATCATGACTTATACTTGTGATAGGTGGATGTCAATAATGGAGCTGGATCTTATGGCCCTTCCAGAGCGCATATGTTCACCCGGTTTCGTGTTGCTCAATTAAATTTTGTGTGTAATCTTCTGGCATGTTGTCTGTATTTGTACTTTTTAGTTGTTCGATGTTTTCGTCGAGTCGATTTTTTCTTGCCCCCCCCCCCCCCCCCCCTTGATATCTTCTCCCCACACTTTACTCGCATAGAATATGACACTCTCCAAACACTTGCCACCTGGTATACATTTCCTGTTGAGACCGGCATCTGAATCGTTCGAATTCCTTCTTTTGTTCATATTCCCTCGTTCATTTGTTTTTTGAAGTAATATAATGGTTGTATCAATTTAACTGACTTGTATGAAACTATGACAACTCGAAATCAACTGACTCAAAAATATTTCAATACTTTTACCGATAATATACTCATTTGAAAATATTTACACATAATTTATTCAATTCTGATTTAGAAAACGTATCTATACTTAAGTTATGTGTTGTTTAAAGCAAAAAAAAAAGTTTAAATATACAAGTCAACCATAATATAATACCATCATTTGAACTTTGGTGGATAGTTGTCTAATTGGCAATCATACCACATTACCTTATTTTTATATTAGTTTAATAATAATAAAACTATTGATTAAAAGCGAAAAAAAGTATAACAAAAATACCGAACTTCAAGGGACATCCAGATAGATTTTGATGATTCTGTCTAGGACCGTCTAATTTTTGTTCTCATCAATTTCTGGCTTTCCGGCTAATTTTTGGTCTTGACTAAACTTATAGAAGCACGTGTCAAGCACACAGTTATCAGTATCATTAGCATTTTCAAACATCTTTACTGATTTCATCATTGTAAAATCATGACATATTATACTCTACAAGTACTCAGCAGCACCCAGGAAATAATGAAAATTATCTTACAAACATGAACAATCATCGCAAATTGGCATCTTAGTCTTATTAATTTTGTATTTACATTAATTTTGTATTTACATTGTGTCATAGATCAAATTTATTCGTTCAGTGTATGTTCACTTGTTTTTGTTAATATGTCTTTTGATTGAGTTAAGCCATTTCAATTCATATTTTATAGTGTGTCATTCTATGTTGTGATGTTACACTATTGTTCCAGGTAGGGTGAAGGTTGGCGCCTATTAAAACGTTTAAACCCGAAGCATTTGTTTGCACCTGTCCGAAGTCAGGAACCTGGTGTTCAGTGGTTGTCGTTTGTTGATGTGGTTCATAAGTGTTTCTCGTTTCTCGTTTTTATATAGATTAAAATTGAGAATGAAAATGGGGAATATGTCAGAGACAACAACCCGACCAAAGAGCAGACAACAGCCGAAGTCCACCAATGGGTCTTCAACGCAGCGAGAAAATCCCGCACCCGGAGGTGGTCCTCAGCTGGCCCCTAAATAAAATGGTGTACTAGTTCAGTGAAAATGGACGTCACACTAAACTCCGAAACATATAAATGAACTAAAATTAAAAATTAGACCGTTGGTTTTCCTGTTTGAATGGTTTTACACTAGTCATTTTTGGGGCCCTTTATAGCTTGCTGTTCGGTGTGAGCCAATGCTCCGTGTTGAAGCCGTACTTTGACCTATAATGGTTTACTTTTACAAATTGTGACTTGGATGGAGAGTTGTCTCGTTGGCACTCATACCACATCTTCTTATATCTATTAGCTTTAGGTGTCATTTATTTTCATCTACAGTACTGTATTATATTTTACAGAAATATGGCGGACGATTCCATGATTAAATGTGGACCATGTGAATATAAAAATGAGTCGAAAAAAGCAATTAAATGGTGTACAGAATGCGAAGAAGGTTATTGCAACGAATGTGTCAAAGATCACAAACTCCATAAGATACTACGAGATCATCGCGTGATATCAGTAGACGATTATTTCAAAATAGCAAACCTCTCTAAAAGTTATCAGAAATGTAACATACATGGAGAGAATTTTGAATATTTTTGTCCCTCACAAGATAAAGTTTTATGTTTTAAGTGTTTGTCGACAAATTTTACCTATTTCAGACAGGAAGACATCATAGCCATAAAAGAAGCGTTAACTAGTTCGAATACAAAAGATTATTTGTCAAATTTTGAAACAAAATTGGATGATTTGCTTAAGGAAGTCGATAATAGAATTATATGCCATGAAGAAATTGCTGATTATGTTGATGATAAGGTTGATCAAATAATTTGTAAGATAAAAGAAATACGCAAGAAAGTTAACAAGAAGCTTGATAAATTAGAAGCTAGAGCAATTGATGATATGAAACATAACATACATGTGAAATCAATGAAAGAAAAGCATCAGATTTTAAAAGAAAGGGCCAAAGAAGCAAGAGAAATAAAAAGAAACATAACACTTACCAAAGAGTACGCCTCTGATAAAAGTCTCTTTATTTTCAGTCGTAGAGTGCTAGAATCAATCGATGAAATAAAAAAGGCAGTGGACCGTATGGTACGTCTAGAGCAACCAAACGATTTACTATTTGTAACATCGCCAGACCTAATTTCAGTAATGAATTCAAAATCATTTGGGGAAGTCATAGCTGATTACAGACCACAAGTAGAATATTGTACTTAAAATTTGAACACAGAATATGTAGAGACTGGACCGATGATAAAAACTCTTGAAAAAATAAACGATATTCATTTTGATTGTGGTCGGAAGAAAAATCTTAAAATAACTTGTTGTCGAATTCTGCCAGATAAAAGATTTGTAGTGGCGGTTCTGGACAATCTCAGGCTTACTGTCCATAAAGAAGACGGTTCTCTGGAAAAGAGTCTTATTTTGCAAGGGGTTCAGTTTTTGGCATCACAGTTATCGATATTCAAAGAATTGCAGTAACTCATGGCAATCGGACTATCGATGTGATAAATTTGATCGATGAAGAAAAGAAAAGCAGATTTGACATAGACAGACCCTGTGAGGTATACGATATAGTTTTTAATAATCACAAATTATTTCTCGGTAGCAGTTCATCGTATATGAATGAAATTCTTATATCAACCATGTCAGGTAACATAATGGGATGCATTCCGCTACCGAAACATGAAATTCCATCAAAGTTTTAAATGGCTCAATTTGGAGAAAAACTTTACTTTACATATAAAGGCAAAACATGTGAAAAAGTGGTGTGTTGCGATTTAACAGGTGATACACTGTGGAAGTTCGGCAGTAGAAAGGATAGTTTCAAGTCGCTTGTAGAGAAAGTGTCGGGGACAGCTTTCCAGTTCCGTACAAAGGACAATGATAGTTTAAAGTCACCGGATGAGCAACTGGCGAGGACGTTTTTCCAGGTCTGTACAGATGATGACAATTATGATAGTTTAAAAATACCTTGTCATCTGTCGGGAACGGCTTTCCGGGTCCGTGCAAAAGACAATGATACTAGTCTTAAGTCGTCTCTTGCGGTAGACAATTATGGAAACGTTTTACTTTCGGATAGATCTGCTGGTGTACAGGCGATATCGTGCGATGGCAAATATGACAAAGTCATACGTAAGGAATCGACAACACTGATTGATTATGACATGAATTTGAACCTGTTAATCCTATGGACGGTTATAAAGCAGAACTTTTTAAAATAATTTACTGATTTTGAATTGAACTTAAGAAAATCTCTGAACACTGAAGTAATGTAACTTCAGGCCTAGTAATATAAACAATTTTTTTCTTAGTTTTTGTGTTTTATTTTGAAATATATACGTATCCAGTTAACCTTGTTCCGGGACTGCTGTGGCTTTTATTTCAATATTCTCCAATAAGAGATATAGTTTTAATGAATTGCAATGATATGATTTATTCAATTATATAATGAGTTGATCTAGGATAAAACCTGAAAATTGACAATATATGTAATTCATCTATTGGTACTTAATCAAAAATACGTTTACTATTGGTCCAAGGTTTTAGTTTTCAGAAAAAAAAATATTAAGTACTTTAAGAAACACGTATATGTGCACACCGCATTTTTGCGCCTGTCCCAAGTCAGGAGCCTCTGTCCTTTTTTAATCTTGTATGTGTTTTAATTTTAATTCATTTATATGTTTTGGAGTTTAGTGTGACGTCCATTTTCACTGAGCTAGCACACAATGTTATTTAGGGGCCAGCTGAGGATCACCTCCGGGTGCGGGATTTTCTCGCTGCATTGAAGACCCATAGGTGGCCTTCGGCTGTTGTCTGCTCTTTGGTCGGGTTGTTGTCTCTTTGACATATTTCCCATTTCCATTCTCAATTTTACACGTATATGATCGTACAAAAATCATCAGATATAATTACATCTAGAAATGTGTTGAGAAGAATAAAGTAACTAGACCACTGCTGTGAGAATTGGCGAGAGCTCAACATGTTCGTTTCACTGGGCTCTAATTTGTTTTTTTAAAGAAAAAAAGTTTGAACAAAAATACCTAACTCCAAGGTAAGTTAAAAGAGGGAAGTCCATAAAACCTGACAAAATTAAATGTGCGAATATACCAACCATTTTTCACGTTTGGACTTTTACCTTTTTCTATTTTTAATTTTTTCTATTGTTTTAAATTTTCTTTTTATAAAAATGCTCAACACCTTTCAGTTAAACATGATACACATTTTGGCAGCATAATGGTTATCCAAAGATAATTTCTTTTTATAGAATTTGCATCACACATTTTGGGTAATTTTAACTTTGGCTGTTACCTTAGATTTTAAGAAATGTTATGATAAACAATAAATATTGAAAATAAAAACTACAACTTCAAAATTGGTTCAATGCAAATTAAAACATTTCATCTTTCATGTCAATGTTTTGATCTTCTTTTCAATGATTTAAATTTTATGTCATGTAGTTTAACACTACCACTTATGAATGTTTCTTTCTTCTTAAAGGTTTTGCTTTTAAGTCTTTTGAAATGCTTGTTCATCTTTTTATAACTTTTTTGGTCTAAAGTCTAAATTCCTGTTTGTGCATCTTTGCTGTTGTAGGATGCACTTTTATAAAAGATTTTATGACTGGAGAATTTCAGGAAAGGTAATAAAAGTCATAGGTACTTGGGGACAGGGCAATTTTTTTAGCCCTCCCCCTTTTTCAAAGTCCGTTATTTTTGGTTTTCTGATAATTTCAATTATTTTCGCGTTTTTCTGTACACTATGAACATACATATACATGCATATAGTTATACGTCCTTGATACACTATAAAATAAAGTGTATTTGCTATTTACTATCAATTCCAAGTTTACTATGCACGGCGGTCACTGATATATTATAAAGAGAATCTCTATTATATTATATGTATGATCAAAGTATACAGAAAAACGCGAAATTAATTGTCCTGTCCCCAAGTACTTATTATTGTGTAATTTTAAAACAGTTCTAAACGGAAGTCTTGTTTATGACTTAAAAGTCCGTCCGATGACGGAAATAATTTCCGGACGCCTTTATTTTCGATTTCCTCCCAAAATAATTATCATAAGCGAGGATGACAAATACAACTATGCATGGTACCTATGGGACACAGAGGCAAAATGATTAATTTATTGTGGAAGGAGGAGAAGCGACACACAAAATGAGGTCTTCTCGTTTAATAGTATAGATGGTCAACTCCAAATAGTAAAACTAAGTATAAATAAACTGTTGACACAGAGATATATGTCTCGCCTTTCGGCATAAAATTCAGAAAAAGACAATCTGATGGACAGCAACATTTCTTATTAATTCAGTCACCGCACCATGATCTAATGGGTAGGGCTTGAAAATTGTCGACAAACTGAGATGTACAGACAGTAATGTAGCTTTATAGAAAATATCGTTGTTTATTGTAAATAGTTCCTATCAATATAACTTAAGCAGAAAAATTTAACATTCAGGAAAATTGCTAATTAATTCAAAGTCACTGGACCATGACAAAGGGAGCAGGGCCTCGAAATAGTCATCAAACTGACACGAACTGATAGTAATGCAACTTTATACAAAATATCATTGATCTATCACAAGTAGATTCAATCAAACTAACTAATGCATAATACTTAACATTAGAAATTGCTAATTAATTGTACAATTAAAGGAGACTTACCTTAAGGTAGCACAATACAAAGATTTTTTTCACCAATCATCAGACAACTTTAAACTGATGTAATTTCTTTCATCCAGCTTTAAATTTTATAAATGAGGTACCAAAATAAAGAAGAAAGATTAATCTTTCAAATGGTGATTATTTCATGATGACATGATTATTACATAATTAATTATTATGTAATTAGTTGCTATATTGTGATGTCCACACTTGAATGAAATTAGCTTCTTTATTATTCATACCATCCCAAAATATTTTATAGATTGTTGTGAAACACAGTTTGACCTCCAAAAGGGTGTCTCAGATTTTTGCTATTGTATTTCATTCTGTCATAAACCTTCAATGAAGTTTGCAACCTCAATTCATAAGAGATCACTAAATTAAATTGGGTATAAAATTTGTTCTATTGATGCTTTTGGAAATCTGAGACACCCTTTTGAAGATACCTGGTCAAGGAACAACATGTGTGAAAATCAGGTATATAGGGGCACCCATCAAGGAGCTAATTTAATTTAAACTACATTTTCATGACAAAAATGAATGTGCCACAATTGAATAAATAAGGATTTTCCTACTTGTACCCCATTAACTTCAATATAATTCACACATATATCATGGGGATACTTCAGGATTGGCCTTTAATCATAAATCAATTAGGTTTTGACCAGTAAGAAAGCATTCCAATTCAGCAATTCTAAATATATAAAGAAAATGCACACCCTATGCATCGAAAATCAGATCTGGCGGGAGATGTTATATCATTATTGACCTTGCTATAAGTCAGTTGCTACAGATATGGTCAAAACTCCGCCCACCATGATAAACCTTTACTATTAATGATCTCAGAAGTTTAATTACACATTGCATTTACTTTTTTCAATATGGATTTTATTCTTTTAGTACATAAAATGATATATTTTGTTTTTTGCATTGTTACAAAAAGTAAGTTATGCATGTGTACACAAAATGATCAGTTGGTCAGTCTAGAGGATCCTTATGGGGGATTTCTAGAATTATAATTGTATACAATGACAATATGGTGTTTTACACAAAGTAGATTTTTTTCATTTTTTGCTGTTTGAAAATGAAATATTTAATTTGTATTTTCTTTTAAAAAGAATTCATATTTATACATTCTCCTCCAGAAATTCTAGTATAAACATCAGCAACATTTATTGTTGTACAATTATATTTGTTTAATATTTGTACATTTATATTTTGATTCCCTCTATAGCTCCAAATAGTTGTTTTGTTTTTTTCTCCTGGCAGCTCCAATACAGAAATGTATTTTATTTGGAAATCATTATCTTCATTTTTGCATAAATCCCTTATCCACCTCTTTTTCATAACTGTTATTTTTCTTCTGGTCAGTGGTCGTAAAGCTATCAAATGATTCTATTGATTAACCACATAGTACTGCCCACATGTTCTTATCTTGTATCAGTCAGACACGTGCATTTGTTTACAAAACTCATTAACAGTGCAAGATATGTAAATATTTTTCTTCTGTGGTTTTTGAATATTAAGAAGTAACAAAAACAGCTGAAAATGAAATTTTGATAAAATTTAGTTGCTTTTGTATTGTGCTACCTTAAGTCGAAATTTGATTGTAATTTTGTTGAACCTATTTATGCTGAGAGTTAACATGAGATGCGCACGCAGATCGTAGAGGTCAATTTTCAGAGAATGTAACAGAGCACATAAGCACATGATACACCAAAAGAAAACTGGGTGGGAATACGAGTGATAGGGAGGGCATGTTAACTCTCAGCATAAATAGGTTCAACAAAATTACAATCAAATTTCGACTTAAGGTAAGTCTCATTTAATTGTACAATTTTATTGAACCTATATGCTAAGAGTACCACGAGATTTCAGAGATATGTGATCTGTTACTCATGTTCACTGAAATTTATTACAGCCTCATCAATCATGATTTATTTTCAGGCTTTAAAAAACAAGATGTTGTATCAACTTTGTGTTCTATCAAAGTACAAAAGTAAAGTAAATCAAACATACATTGACATATGCACATGTTATGTTAAACTTTAAAATGTCATTGATTGTAAATCTAACATGTATTATCATTATTCATGTTATACATGAGACTTATCAGAATTTGATAAGATATGACTTCTCAAAACCTTCACACTATAATTATCATTATAATTTTGTTTAGATACAGGTTTATCATAAAATTTTCTGAATGTTGATTCATTTGACCAACCTGCCGCTTTTAAAATAGTATCTACTGAAGTAGCACACCGTAGTACTGCAGATGTACTTGCTGATCTAGTACTATGTGGTTTGTATATAGTTATGTCTACACCAGACGTTTGCAAAACAACCTTAACCCAACGTCCAAGAGTGTCTTTAGACACATGAGAATATGGTTTTATAAAGCTCAAGATTAATTTTTGGGTTTTCCGAAAACATGATGTTCTAACTAAATACTCTTTTAGAACAGTTACAATACACAGACTATTATCCTCAATAAAAGCTGGCAACTCTATTGGTTGTAAATGCCTCCCTGGCTTTGAACATTTTAATAAACTTCTCACATCTATATATATGTTACTATCTGTAACAGTTATATCATCTAAATCTAAGCTATGAATGGTTTGTAAC